CGATCATCTCCCCGGGGATCCCGGCCCGGGCCAGCACCTTCCACAGTAGCTCCCGGTCCACCGAGTCATATGCCTTCTGCAGATCGATGAAGCACATGTAGAGCGGGATTCTCCTCCTCCGCCCCAGCTCCTGGAGTCGGCGCACAACGAACAGCATGCATACCGTGGATCGGCCAGGCCGGAACCCGCACTGTTCCTCCGGGAGGATTTCGTTGGCTTCGCAGAATGCGCTGAGGCGGTTGGTGATGGTCTTGGCGAGTACTTTGCCTACATGCGAGAGCAGCGAGATGCCCCTGTAGTTGTTGCAGTTCGAACGGTCACCCTTCTTGTACAGCACCTTAATGATGGCATCCTTCCACTCCTGCGGCATCTCTCCCCCATTCCACACGTGTGCTCGGCAGCATTCATAAATAAAGACCTGGTTCGAAAAATATCGATGTTCGATTCCGTCATGTCGCAACATTTTGGTGTACCCACTGCATTGTTCGAGTACCGTGCCCTTGTTATGCTGTGCACAGCAGCTCACGCATCACACCATTCCTCTCAGCCTGATCCTGAGGGCGAGCGTGCCCTGCAGCCCGAATCCGCCGGACTTTTTGTTCTACGCACCCCAGTTTATTTCGCCAACTCCCTCCCATGTTGCCACCAGATGCTATCTAATAATGTCTTCTTTTTGTCGGATTGTGCATGGACTGGTGATCTGTGCGTGTAGCTATTTGACAGTTTGGGTGGTTGGAGCGATCCTTGAATCCCCCACACGATTTGGTTCCGATTTGGTCTTTGATAGGCCTCTCTAGACTATTGTGGGGATTGTCCTACGTAGCTCGACCAGTCCGACCCGGCGACAAATACCCTTCGCCCACCCCCTCGTCATTGGTAGAAATCGCTCGTCGTCCGGTTACGCTTCTTGGTACATTTACCTGTAGACTAAAGGGATACTTACAAATGTATGTTTGCTTTTTGGAGGATTGTTGGTGTTCTGGGTCGTGTATTCATTTTACGGTTCCTCGGTGTCTAGAGTGTTTACTTGTCTGTGAGCACTGAACGGTCCTCCCGTCAGATGGACCAGTCAGAACGGATGGGAAAGGAAGGTGCGGCTGCTGTAAGGTAGTAGCTGAACTGCCGTCTGGAGACCTTACACAAAAAAACCGACGAGCGGTCCCGTGAGATACCCCGTAGGATGCGCACGGACTGCAAACGTCACGAAAAAATCTCACATGTTGTTGTTGTTGTCTTCACATTAAAAACCATCCCGGTCTCTCCATCCAGTACCTCCTTCTG